AACCAGAGGGCAGCACACGACGCGATCGCGCGACCCTGCCCGTGAGCAATCTCCCAACTCATCTCTGCTGCCGCATGGTATTACCATCCCGAGTACGTGAGCCACCAACGGCGACTGGTAGATGGTACCGCCACCGCGAGTACGCGAGCTCCTACCAGAAATTCGTTGCGCAGCCCTTGGGGGCAAAAAACGGTGAAAGCTAACGTACGAAACCAGAGGGTAGCACAGGATGCGATCGCGCCACCCGGCCCGTGAGCAATCTCCCAACTCATCTCTGTCCTAAATATCTAGGAGTATATGTTCTAAGATTAATGAATATGGGGTTGAGGTGCAATAGGCGTGACACCTCCCCAGTTAGAATTGACATTTTCGTGCAGAGAAAATGTTAAATCGGAGTGAATGCAATTTCGTCTGACGGTTGTGTTTCCTCAGTGTTTTGTGTTTGTTGACAAGTGTTAGTGACTGAGTATCGGCGTATTTTTAAAAGTATGAGTCGTACAGCATAACCTATTAGGATACTAATTACTAGTAGTATTTCGGTTATTACAATTATAACTTGCGTTGTTTCTTGTTTTTCGTGAATTGATTTTGAATTTGCTATTTCTTTTACTTTCAGAATGATGGCTTTCCACTGTGCGCTGCGAATTGAGTCATGAGTATCATCTAGTGATTCGATTACGTCTGGTAAGTTAACCTCGTTTAGGTATGGTTTGTATAGCAATTCATTAGTTATATCGGATTCTATTCCTGTCGTGAGTGGATTGTGTTCGTTATAGAAACGTGTCTGCTTATTAAAAAGCGTTATCGAATTTGTTCGGACGGTGCATTTATCAAAGAGTGAGAGAATATCCGTTCCATCTACAATTATCTGAAATTCTTGTTTATTACATGTTATTTTAATAGTTTCAGGACTAGCAAGTGAGAAGAGATATTTATAATGTCCGAGAAGTGGTTTCCAGGGATGTCGAATGGACTGCGTAACCCTAATGTCACATGTGGCTACGTCGGAGGACTTCGACTCTATGACTAATTGGACTTCGCATGGAGAATTGTCAGACACCTTGTAGAGTGGGTAATTCTCTTTACAAATGTAAGTATTATCTATGATATCGCAGTGAGATAATTGTTCATTCGTTTATTCTAAAAATTGAATTTGGTCATCCGTGACAGCTATGTTCTCGGATGATGGTTGTATAAATACGTAACCTAGTTTGTCGTACATAAATGGTGCTGGTGTTAAGTGATATACATTTAGATTTAAACGTGAAAGATGTGGAATATTTATAATATATGCTAATTTTCCTTGTGTATAGATAATTTGGGTCTCCGATATGTCAATTAATGTTTCCATGCTTTTCAGGTCTAACGGTGTTGGAAATTCTATCGATGGGTTGTTTTCTGCAATTTCTTTAACAGCTTTCAAGAAATGAGCCATAGTAAATAAATGAGGGTGGATTAGACCTCGTTTGGCAAATAATATTCCATCGGTCAGTATGTTTAATTCAATATCTATGGTTACGATAGCTTGATCTAATGATAATGTTAATATTTCCATTGCTAGGTTATATGCACGAATAGAGGCTGAGTCGAACGATTGTTGCATGTTCGCAAGACTTGTATGTACTTCAAATGTTTTTTCGCGAAGTTTGTCGATATCGTGTTGGATATTTTCAAATTCGTGTTTCGCTATGTGAATGTGATTTGATAATTCTGCTGACGTATTTTCTTGTTTCGACTTTGGCGGGTATAGTAGTTCTACATAATTTTGTAATTCAGAATTCGATAAAATTCCATAAAGAATTTTCACTGTTGGTTTGACAATATTTCCGAATATTCCGCGCTTATTTCGCTTTGGTACGCTTAGTAATTCTAGGAGTTTTACATGGTTTTGTTCTGTTTCGTAGATCCGGCTTGAAAGCAAGTCTAAGTGGGGGCTGAGTGTGCAGTTGTCCGGAGGAAGTCTGCATTTAGTCCTTGCTGACTGTAAGGAGTTTTGGAGCCTTTCCTTGGCATCTTGGATTTCGGGAAGATTGACGTAATGCAGAATTTGGCAGATTCCCATAGTGGTACGCATTTGTAGATCCTTTTCGATTATTATTGCCGGTGGTTGTGCGTAAATTTCGACTTGGTACGGCTCTGCCTTGGCGAAGCATAATCTGTGATAACATACTCAAAGCAAGGTATATTAATAAATGTTCGTATTTCGTTTACAGCTATTGGTTTACAACTAATGATGCGTGTAATGTTTTTTTTTCTTTTTATGTTTCAGCTACGTTTGCTAACTTTATACGATCTTTATGTACTATTTTGCATTTTCGATCACTAATTCTAATCTTAATATTATTATTATCTGGGATGTCCATAATTTGAAAGGGTCCGGTATATTCGTCGTCGAGCTTGGATTTTCGGTTCCCTTTTAAAAGGTAAACATAAACGCCTATTTTATAATTGCATGGTTTCACCTTTTTGTCGTAATAGTATTTAGACCTTAATTTACTTTGTTGTAGGTTATGAGATGCGTGGTCACGCAATTCTTTCAAGGTATGGTATAGATTTGTCACATAGTCGTTGTATGTTTGGAATTCGTCGGTTGAATTAATGCTAGATGGTAGTCGCGCCTTTCGGCCGTATAATAATTCGAACGGGGTAAAACGCGTCGCTTCGTGTACGCTTGTATTATATGAAAACATTGCATAATTTAGCAATTGATCCCAATTTCGTTTATTTTTTCCAATGTAATGCTTCAAATACTCTACTAATACGTGATGGCTACGTTCTATAGAAGCGTTTGACTGCGGATGGAATGCGGTGGTGCGTAATTGTTTAATTTTTAATAACTTGGCTATTTGTTTTAGGAGAGCACTGGTAAAATTGGTGCCTTGGTCGGTCAATGTCGCCTTTGGACAGCCGAATTGGCAAATTACGTTTTGGGAGAATGCATCAACGATTTCGACGGAAGTTGCATCTTTCAATGGGATTGCTAATGAATATTTAGTAAGTTGGTCTTGTACGGTTAGAATGTATACATTTCCGTTTGTAGAGCGAGGTAGAGGGCCTAGAATGTCCATTGCAATTTTGAGGAAGGCATCTTTAGGTGTGTCGGTAATAATCATAGGTTCGCGTCCTTTAACGCGTACTAGTTTTTTGCGTTGACAGCTATCGCAGTGGGCTATGAAATCTTGAATTTCGTTTTTCATGCCTGGCCAGTAGTACGATTGTCTTATCCGTGTGTAGGCTTCGTGATTCCTCTATGTCCTCCGTGGAGGCTTTCGTGATTTTCGCGAATGATGTTTTTTCTTTCTTCGATAGGTGGGGTAATTACTTTGCCTGAGCATAGTGTGACGAATATATTTGATTTGACTAACATTGCACGGAGTATTCCTTTTATTTTGGTCCAAGGGATTTTGGTACAGCATAAATCGTCTTTTGACAGGCTGATCGTTGTTGATTCGTGTAGAGTCATTACTCGAAATTGTTCGCGTAAGGATTTTGCAAATAAGTTTTCGTTGATAGACGTATTCTCTTCGGTGGTAATAGTGATGCCGAATAGTTTTCGTTTACCTGCTTTTGAGACACAGATTTGGCCTGGCTTAGAATTGGCATTTTTAAAACCTTTTAAGTAGCCTTTAATTTGTAATTCCCCACCAACGAGGCTTATTGGTTCTCCATGGGTAATCAAGAGAAAACCAAGGTCGTCTTTTTGCATAAGTAGATGATCGCTAGTTTCCAATATATTTGCTGGTAGAATTTCTTCGTGGATAATTGTTGGTTTTTTGGGTGAAGGTTTTTGGCGGCTTGTGGATGTCGTTTTCCCAGGAATAGGGGGTTTTAAGAGTGTCGTGTCTTTGCGTTTCGGTTTATTTATTTTTGGTAATTTCTTCGGTATAGGTAGACTTCGTGGTATCGCTGGTTGACGGCGATGCGTGATTATATAGTCGCTTTCGGATGATTCGTCGGGTTGATTTCTGGGGGGAGTAGTAGGCTCGTCGATGTCCATATGTTCGATTTCATCAGGGTTGGATTTTGATGAATTCCCAATTTGGAGTTTCTTCGGTGTTGATGATTTAGAGGTGATTTCGCCTTTTGCAGAGGTGGGGTCTATTTCCATTTGTAATGGGGAGATAGAGGAGTCTGATGAACTGTCCATAGCTCGGTGAACATTGGCTTGGACTGCTATTTCAGTGAGTTCTTCGTCGCTGGTCGTCCAATGTATTCTGTGTCCTCCCACGGGAGAGGGTGGCGAGATGGTAGAACGGTCCATGGGGTTATCAGTGTCGCTGGAGTCTGATGAGGGTATTGTATTTTTAGGTTTGAGGCGTTTACGCCGTCTCCTCGGTTTTCGTATACCGTTTTCGGAGTTCGTAGAGGTCAGAGAATGTTTTTCGCCACGGTGTTCGTCTTCTTGAATTTCGGAATTATTGTCCTCGGTTTCAGAAGTTTCGAGAGAGTCTGGAGTTTGCGATGTTTCTGATGACGTTGAGGATTTCCTTCCAGGTCTGGTCTTTTTTCGACGTCTTCGTGGTTTTCGAATTCCGGCATCTGAACTAGTGGTGGATAGTTTATGTTTTTCTGCTCGATGGGATGTTTCGATACTTGATCCTGTGGATTCGTCTTCGCTAGAGATAGAAATAGGGATCGGTTGATCGATTTTTATTACGTTAATGTCAGAGCCAGTGTCTATCATGAAACGAGCCGTCGGGTTTGAATTTAATTCTGGACATGGAATCTCGACTACTGGAGGTCTGTTGACTTTAGTGTAGTTTATTTTGGCTCGTCTTATATGTCGTTTGTTTCCATAATCTGGACTTGGCGTCGTGGTGGGTTGCCCTGGCGTGCGCCATCCCGCAGGGCACCCGGTAGGTTTCCCAAATTCGCATTATTGCGGTCGTTCGCTCTCGAAGAATTTTGCGGCGGATTCGTTCGATTATTACTATTATTAATGTTATTCGGATTTCTGCTGTTATTGTACGCGCGTTTTCGACATTGATCGATTGTATGGCCTATGTTTTTCCAATAGCGGCACACATTAGAATTTAAATCGGATGGATTATTTTGATTGTTTCGGCGAGCATAATCGTTGTTACTGTTTCGAAGATTCTAAGAATAATTGGGACCATTTGCTATTCTAGATCTATTTCTACAATTGTCATAAGTGTGACGCGGTTTATTGCAAAAGGAACAGACACTGGATTGCCATCGAGTGGCACGGATTTGTGCGTTACAGTCTTTCGCGAAATGCCCTTCCTTATTGCAATTCTGGTATACGACGGGAGAGGCCATTGAATTTTGACATTGTGTTAATTTTTTACGGCGAGCAATTTCGGCCTCGGCTGTACGAGCGAGTTCTATTGCAGCTTCTAGAGACAACCGCTGTCACCAAGAATCTTGTCACGTCCCGAGCGGCAGGAACGTTAAGTTGTGGGAATTCCGCCGACAAAGGATGAAAATCCACTTTCTCGCGTCGGACGTTATTTCGGAGTCACCTTTAAGTCTTTGTATTGAATTAATTAAAGATTGTCGAATGAATCTTAAAGTTTGTAATAAAGGGACACAATGTCGAACTGTTCATTGTAATGCGGTATTTATTAACAATCATCAGTTAAGTTCTAACTATGCGAATAATTATGTCACTCGAAGCGGTTGAACGAACTAGGTAGGAAATAGTCTAAGTCCTTTTCTGAGATGGACTCGAAATCGTTAACGAGCTCGGAACTAATGTGATCGAGTCGGCTGTTGGAACGAGACTGTTCGAGTCGAATGTCGGGGCGAGACAGTTTGAGTCGAATGTCGGAACGAGACTGGCGAGCGCACGGAGTTAGGAGAACGGAGTGAGGTACTGTTGGTTTGGTGGCGGAAGACAATCGGACTTGATGGAAGTTTCTCGAGAGGATGTTTTGTCTTCAGGTTGTTTTCGAGTACGGCGTAATTTCGGGGAAGCAAGGATGTCGGCGTTTGTAGGATTGATTTCTGTCAATAAATGATTTTCTAAGGATCCAGGATGTAGTGTCTGGTGAGTGTATTCCGTTGTGTTTATGTGATATGGTAGGATTGATTAGGGGGTCCCCGGGTGGTCACGTAAGTTGCAGGTATGAGTTCCCCTAGGGAATATTGGAAATGAGTAAATGGCAGATGTTCGGTGTAGGAACGAAGGTAAAGGTGTCTAAGACAGGGCTGCGAAAGTTAGGATTAAATATGTTAACTAGTACGGGAGTAATAGGCTCGGGAATCTTGCGGAGGTATCAGGAGAACAGGGGGTATAAGGAAGAGTGCTGCGTGCGGAATCGGCGGGAAGCCGCTGGGTATCGGGTTCGGGCCCGCGCGGTAGGATGGCGCTACGCACGATGAAACTTGGTATCGAATACGGGTTGGCGCTGTTAGATGGCGCCACCAAATGTACATTTTCAGATTATACGTTCGCACGATTCCTAAATATCTAGGAGTATATGTTCTAAGGTTAATGAATATGGGGTTGAGGTGCGATAGACGTGACATTCGTAAGAGCAAACTGACGATGCAGCACTCCGCAGATCAAACTCGTACGAGCCGTTCGCGAAAAAAGTTGTCATCG